ACTCTCTCTCTCTCTCTTTTTTTTTTGTAACCATTATAATCCACAGTTTTGTCCCTGTGCCAGGAGGCGTATTCAGCGATATCGCAGGGGAAGATCCTTTTTCTTTTCTCACCTGGTTCAGGAGGTGGAATGGCGAACCCCGACCGCAGCTGGCACACATCTGGGCACGAGGGTAGGCAGGGGGTGAGGGAGAAGAGAGAGAGAGAGCGTATGCGTTGTAGAGGAAGAGGTGGAGACGGGTGCGGGGCATGAGCCCACGCTCAACACGCGAGAGACATCACGAAGCCGTGCATGCATGACTGTATACGCTTCGGAGCACGACGGGTACAGAGGCGCGAACTATATATATGTAGTTATACATACATGACCTGTTTGAAACATCTTACTTGATAACGTCTATTAAAAGTAAGGACGTAGTAAATTTTTCGTGCAGATGTATTAGTACAGGTGGCGTTCAACACTTCAATCGTTGTGGCCTCACGCAGCACATCACCATGAAATGACAACAACGAATAAAAATATTATTACCATTACACCGGCGGAAATATACCGTTTTCTTGCCAGCTTACAATTTCAGTTATGTTATAATTAGGGTATATGTAAGTCACTTGAATATATATAAACAAACACAATTACCTATCCATTCACTGATTTTATTATATCGGCGGCAATCAAATGAATGTGTCTAAAGAAAAACAAGCCACTCGGCAATTTGTGTGCTTTTGTGCTTTTTTTATATATATAAAGATATATTGCAGCGTCAGGATTCGAATATACCCAAGATAAACGTTGCATCGATAATAAAGCGATACGAACCAGCCCATGCTTTCGTTATATGTGGCTATACCTGTTAGGCTGTTATATTCCGAAATTGTTACCAAAACGTAATACGCGATTGTCAATAAAATTGTGCTGTACGTTTCTGTTACCATACTTGCTCCGGTTTAAAAACGTATATGTGCGCGTAAACGTTCTCTATAGGTTCAAACTAATCGTTACACTTTGGATAACATCTATCCTTTCTTCCGTAGCATATGTCATTTATATGTGTTCAGGTATACGTCGTCCAAGCTGAGTAGCGGCTTTTTGTCACTGCAACATAGTAACTCACGGAAGTTACGTGCAATAACCTTCACGTTGGTGTACTTTCACTTTTGTCGCATGCACATGTGTCGGCTTTTATAGAGCGTCCAACTCGCTATTCCCTATTGTCTTTTTCTTTGCATAGCTCGTGCAGGGTGGCAAATTACTTTGACCTGGTTAAAAACCTCCCTGCTTCTTATTTTAATCTACATTTGGGCGCACTCAAGTTAAGCTCAGTATCAGTATTGATGATTGCGCGAAAACTTTCAAAAGTTGGAGCAAGCAATGCACACTGGCATCTTTTTCTCACATGCATATTTCCACGCGTGTTGTCACGACGAGGACGAAGGTTGCAGTTGGATTCTTCGCGCAAGACTAAACTATTTATCTATGTGAACCTGTGCACGGAAAAAGTAGAAAGGCAAGGAACAAGCAGTTTTGGCTTATACGCTGCTATCAGCGAACACAAGGGCGTCGGTAATCTCATCATCGGAGGAAAACGTGGTCTCCATATACACACTTCAGCCACTGAATCTTCCACGTTATCACTGACGCTCGCGTAGACTCTCGAGTAAAGTCGATTATTCGCGCCCTGCACGTGATCTTGATAAAACGATCTACAACAATCTCGAAGCGTCTCAAACACTGCGGTATACTGTCTGCGCCGAGCGTTCATAAGTCTCCTCGGGTGAAACTCGATTACATCGAAATAAACCCACACAGATAGTTGCGAAGGGTTCTTTGTGCTCATAATAGAAGGTATACAATGCATCCATACGTGATGGGTGCTTCAGTATTTCGATATCCCGTCACGCAGGGTTTCTCTTGTCGCGTCGACAAAACGATCCATCAATTCGTGCGCGATTCAATCGGAGTAATACAGCGTACGGACCTTGGTCAAGTTGAGCGTGCACACGGCAATGACATACCAGCAGTATCGTATATCCCTAACTCGGGAAAGTCTTACACCTGCGATATATACGTATCCTTGCTTCTCACACTACTGCACCATTACGAGCCTCTGAGGTCGAAATTGCAGGCGCGCCTTTCCTATAGGTATAGCGTTACTTTCTCCTCACGGTAACGATGCCTCCGGATTAGTAGGGCGTGAACAGAGAACACTTAGGACGCGATCATCTCGATTGTGTTATAACTTCACGCTCGATTTCAGCAGCGACTCAGCCGAGAAAAGTCGAAAGAAACAGAGTGAAAGAGATGGCTGACTGCATGCGGATAATATAGGAAATGAGTGTGCGAGAAAAAAATTGTGGGAAGAGTGAGCAGTAGAGATTTTATGGCACTTATTACGTATTGGTACGTATAAGTGTGAAGAGTTATAAAAGCGGATCCGGTGCCGCTACATTTCCGCCATATTGATTCCCTATTTGCTCTATTTATAGGGCGCGCCAGGAGAGGGCGCTTCTGCGATGGGAGTAATTGCCCAAAAGCGAGGCGTCTTATGTATAAACACCCTGCGCACTGCTTCGCGCGGAACTGCCGACTGCAGTGCGAGGCAATGGAGCGTTACAAATGGGTTCTTCTACTTAGTACGCTTCCTTGAAAGCCGAGAGAAGGTGTGCTGCGCTGTGGTACATATATAGCACAAACGATCATGGCATCACTACACACACACACACATGTATATATATATATATATATATATATATATATATATATATATATATATATATATATATATATATATATATATAGATATATATATATATATATATATATATATATATAGAGAGAGAGAGAGAGAGAGAGAGAGAGAGAAAGAGAGAGAGAGAGAGAGAGAGAGAGAGAATTGATATTTCTCATCATCAGCCTGACCATGCCCACTGCAGGGTAATTGGCCACCAATGACAATCAACCCGGTCTTGTGCTTTCCGTTGCCACGTTATGCCTGCAATAATACCTGGCTTATATTGGCCGAATGAGGACCAATGTAGGTTAGTGCTTACAAATATTGACTGAATGATAGCTATGGCGCCTAACTTCGGCCAATGTTGGCTATATAATCACCTACGTTGGCTTATGGATAACGCTGGCTATTGGCTTTCTAAATGTATTCCTCAATGATTGCTAGTTCACGTTGAATAAGGGCTAGTGTTGGCTAATGTAGGTCAATGTAGACTACCCGCTGCTGCAGCCACACTGTCTTCTGTCAATCTTTATGCAGAGACGTTCGCCCGAACACATAAATCCAACGTCAGTGAGTTGTTCGTATCGTTCTTGCGTATACGGGTTGTTAAAACACTCGCAAGATGATACAATTCTACCTTCGTCCTTCTATCCGGCCGTTGAGGATGTCATCATATTCGCGGTGTCCAAGGAGGGGAGGGGGAGAGAGATAGAGGGAGAGTTGGTCGAGAATCGAACTACGCACCTCTTCATTTTCCCGGCCCATGACAGCTCGCCGGCGCGATAAGGGAGCCGGCGAAAACCCGACACGCAGTTCGCAAGCGTGCACTCCTCTTCATTCTATCAGACTGTATAATGGCGGCCAACGACAGGACAGCGATCCATTACGCGGCGTCGGTCCTTCTCAAAAGAACATTCGTGCACGCGCGCGCTGCGGGAAATCGCCGATGAAACAATCGCCACCGAAGCATATCTCGAGACATGGCGGCGCCCCCCGTGTTTCCAGAGATATCGAAGAGGCTCCGCCGACGGCGCCGGTCTGGCTGCCGGCGCGCGCCCGTGGATCGCAGTGGTGCATCTCGCCGTGGTATCAAGCGCCGGCATTATACGTTGGATGTCTATCGTGTGGGTATGCGGTGAACCACTGGAATGAACCACGTAAACGTTGTTCACACAAAAAAGGAGCAGGCACGCGCAACACGGTCAGCGTCCATAAATATGTTTATATCGCCAAAGTATGTTCATATCTCCCGCGTCTTGAATTGTAATAGCCGTGCTACAATTGAAAACCAGTAAAAAGACATTTGTTGTTTTGATAACGAGATGTACAAGTGCGCTGTTGGCGTCGATGAGGGCTTGGACCAAAACATTGTTTGTGAAAGGCTTGACCCCAACACACATACAAGCACATCCATCCGTCCATATATCCATCCATGCAGAACTCGCCAACGATGTGCGTATATACAGATGCAGTTTGCTGGCTTGTGGAGCACGTACCCTTGTGGGGCATAGTGGTGACATGCGGCGGTGGCCCCAGGGGCCACCGCGGGGCCTTTCCAGCGCTCGACTTCGGTTTCAAGGCCGAGTCGAGCCAGCCCAGAAGAAGACCTCTGCCAGATCGGGCGCCACCGCAGCAGCCTTCACGGCCTCCTCAGAGCCTGCGTGCGACCACGGGAATCTGCTGATGCAGAACTTTATGCGTCGGGTTTCTATAGCTTCACAGCTGTATATACCTTAGCAAATCTTGTTGTTGAGCGAGTTGGCGTACGTTACAAGAAAGAAAATTAGGTCATGGAAACCACCGGGGAAGAATATAGGCGAAAGGAAAAAGCGCTGCTGGTTGCGTCGTCTAAGTTTCTTGTTATATATACCTGTTTGCACGCCTGCAGGAAGCCGGAGACATCACACCAGATCATACTTTAGCAGCACGGAGTATATAAGGAGTGTTCGAGATCTTGTAGGGATAAAGATGGTGTAAGCGCAGTCAGTGGTTCTCGTTTGTTACATCATCATGCCATTATCATTTGGACAGGTGCCTCATAGAGTAAAGCATAATATTGTGTGGTCTCTTTTTTTGCCTAATTATAAAGTTTAATTAACGACCTCCTCAAGCCACGATGTCAGGCTACAATTTTCGGTGAGTAAGCGAGACATTCGATATAACAGTTTCTACCTCTCTAAACAGAGAGTCCTTTGCTTATGTTTCGCTGTGATGTGTTGCATGAAATGCCACAATATCGGAAAACAACATCTAGTCTCCGCAGCAAACCTACATAATGCCTGGCCGCACAGGCTGTACCCAGGCTATTGTTTCTCTGCGTCGCGGCTGGTCCGGCCGGACTTGCCGCCCTGTATCGTCGGCCTCGGGCGGGCCTTCGTTGCAGTCGGCGTTGCCCGGGCTGGGTTCAGAAATGCGGCTTGACCACATGTCTAATAATTTCTAAAAAGTGATTCAGAGTCACAGAAGCGGGCTCGTCGCAGCGCGTAATGGACAAGCCTTCGGAGTGCGCGAGAGAATTGTTGGGTGACTGTACGAAGTCTGCTGTTCTTTGAACACCACACAATTAGCGCCAACAGTTATCGGTCCATTGCGGTTGTGTGTGTGTGTGTGTGTGTGTGTGTGTGTGTGTGTGTGTGTGTGTGTGTGTGTGTGTGCGTGTGTGTGTGCGTGTGTGTGTGTGAGAGAGAGAGAGAGACGATGCTCACGTGGTTAAACTACGAAATTCGATCCCGAACCAGACGCTTAAGGTTCGCGCACCCACGCTCACAAACATGATCGATTGCGGAAGAAAAGCGGGCGAAGGGCGCCGTGCCTTCGTCTCACATCACACGTATACACGCAGCTCTACGGGTACACTACATCACGCTCTATAATCGGCAGTGAATGCCTGATTACTATTACTTGTGCGCATGTGTATATTGTACACCATGGAGCGAGAGAGAGGTGTTGCTCCTGTAATGAGGGAGGGCGAGAAAGTATAGTGGAGTTCGCGGTGGCTGCAGTGCGCGGACTAATTGCAATGCGGGCCTAACGCGCACCGTATATACTTCGCATGAACGCACCTTCGAACGGCCGCTGCATGCCGCCACCGTCGCGGATGCGTCCGAAATCGAACGGCCCCGAATTCATCTTTGGCTCGTTATCTGAGGGCACGGCGGCGCACTCTTGTACGAATACGAAGCAATCGGAGCCCTCCCTCCCTCCTACCCACCCCCTTTTTTTTTTTCTCCAATTAACGCCCCTCCGGGCGTGCCACGAACGATCGAATGGGCTTCCCGCCGTGCAGCCGATCTTCCTGCGTGGTGCATGCACCCTCGATATCCGATGCGGCAATGAGGAGAAATTGGGCGCGCACCATCAGTGGCTTCTCGAAAAAAAGAGAGAAAGAGAGAGAAAAAAGAAAAGAGAAAAAAGTGGGAAGTAGAGGTGTAGAAAGAACACTAAGAGTTAAAAAAATGGTGCAGGCTGTCAAAATGCGCTGCAGGTGATAATTAAGCTATACGTAAAAAAAAAAAAACAGATGACCGGCAAGATGGATTGGCTGAGAGAGAACCGGCTGAAGCAGCATTAAGTTGTAAAATACAAGCGGCCATTAGAAACAAGCTTGGGATATCAAGTAGCTGAGTGAGAGAAAAACAGCAATATTAATAATGCGAACAACGGGCAGTGATCACAGATGAAGAGCAATCGTTTTAACGTTCAGTAAGCGACGACGCAATATTGGAAAAGGACGGCATATGTACAAAACCACCTGTGATTGATGAGCCATAGGAAAATCCATCAATTGGAACGTTGTGTTACAGAGCGCGTGTTTCATGCATGCTTCGTTATATCCATGCACCTTCCTCGGCATTTTTTTTTTGTTCTTTGCCTTGTCACTCTCCTTTTTCTTGTCAGGAACCTTTTACGGTGCCAAAGTGTCTTTGATCATATACGTACGTTTCTTTTTTTATTACCGTCTTTCTTCCGTCCCCGATATGGCGTTCGCCAATTTCCTTTCACTTAAAACACAATTAAAACAGAGTAAGCGTGCAGCAAGTGGAAGCGCTACATGCAGAAATAAACAAGAAAAAGAAAGAGAAAATTTATCCCCCCTCGAAAAAAAAATTGAGCAGGAAACGTTCACCGAACGTGTTTCTTCTGAAGAAAAAAACAAAGCATAACGATTATATAATTACATAATCGAAACTAATACAGCGGCGCGACTCACCCGTTTGCTGTAAAAAAAAACAGAAAAACTGTCGATATTAATTTTATTTTATCTCTTTCGAGGCCCGCTTCGTACCAGTAAAAAAAAAAAAAGAAAAAAGCTATATTTGAAGCAGCACAAGAAAACTGACGAGAGTAATGAATGGAACATATCGTTAATTCTGGCACCGCGGGAGAGCGTAAACAAAGGATTCTGAGATTAATTGTCACACAGAAAGTCAGTGTCGGCGTGCTGCTGCGTTTGAATTGACAATTAACGCGTCGCGCTTAATGTGTCAGGATGGGGTTCGCGTGCAGGTTTTTTTTCTTAGAACATTAGTTATTTTATTTTATTTTCTACTTTTTTATCACGCCGCATGAGGCGCCTTTTCATTATACCCGAAGGCGAGCATTAAAGTCTCCAATATAATTGTTCTTTATTTTCTTTACACGTTCACGTATACGATTAAGCTAATCACACTTATACATATGCTATATATATATGCTCGTATCGCGCGGAAGTATAGTAGCCTATCTATTCACAGCGCCTTATCTTCAGCCATCTCGTAATCAATCACGAAGCCTTCTGCGTAACTGTGCCCACGGCTTCGTACATAGGTCCTTTGGATGTATGAGTGCCTATTCAGTCAGCGAAGCTGTGCGATAATTGTTGTTGATAAGGAACATATGACGTGATTGGGAGCGCGTCACGCAGATGATTTAATTCTGAGTGGGAGCGGATCGCGGTCGTAACTGTGCTTGTCGTATTCAAAGGAGGAGAGTAAAGAAACAGAAATGGTCGTGAAAATTGGAAAAAAATAAAAGTAACCTTAGGTTTTTTAACGTCTGGGCAGTCTTCCTATGCCGCTGATGAAAGCTCGGCGCTAAGGGGTTTTAGTGAAGTTGGGAGCTTTTGAAATGTGTGTGAATCGCAGTATGAAGAACAAAACGACTATAACGAGACCTCATCTCTTCATAAGCGCTCTTCAACATAGGCCCGCCGCCCTCTCTGTGGGACCCTTTTTCAAGAGCAAATCTACCGTTCGCAAAGGTTTATTACTAATAATGACACATTGAACGACAATTTTTGTTGTTTTTTTTTTTGGGGGGGGGGTGATGTTCCTGAATCAAACAGTAAGAATGAAAATAATGCGAAATCTAGTTTGCGTTCGTTGAACCAAATCACTGAACTGTGTCGTGTAGAGAGAGATAGAGAATTAACTCACATAAAGGCAGGGAGGTCAACCAAAACTGTAGGATACGGTTTGATACCCTGCACTGAGAGGAGAGGGAATGGGGAAGGAAGACGAGAAGGAAAGCCAAGGGAAAAGTAAACGTGCCAAGAAAAAAAACCCTTGTTAGTATAGAGCTTCAATGTACTACACTATAACAAGGGTAATCTGTGCCATTTCACCTTCTTATACCACGCGCCTCCAGGTGGGTCAGGGGCGAGGGATTCTCTGGGCTACTCGCGTCCGTATAGTAGACATAAATGGAGACCACGCCTTGAGCATGGTTAAGACACTTAAAGCCCCGTGATAGCTTGAAACACGCTCACACCGGAAGAGAGCAAAGAAAGGGGAAAAAGCGCTTTGGAGGAAGTGCTTGCATTGGAGTTTTGTGGTGAACCTGCTGGGCGCTGCTCCGTGCCTCCAACCGGGCTGCAGAAACTAGGCGCCTTCTTCTTCTCCTATTCATGCAGCACATATTCATGCAGTACCCTTAGTTATCCTGCCGACAGAATTCAGCAAAAAAGAAAAAAAAATGAACCCAAGTTAGGATTCTTCCTTGGAACCTGAAATACTTATTATTTTATTTGGATACTTCCCCACTTTTCAGTCACGGACCGGATGATTGCTTTTTGCTCACAACCAACGATGCGCATGCCTACAACGAAGTTGACACCAACGCCAACCCCGATGCCGGAATTCCTGCGAAACGAGCCATTTAGCGCTATCAGGCTAAAAAAAAGGAAAGGAAAGGAAAACCAGCTTTACACCTTCAAAATGACAGCGATTTGTGCGGGTTATACCCCTGTCACACGGGCACCCGCGAATACCGTTTAACTCCTTCGTCCTTACGACAACGAAGATGCGGTCCGTACCACACGGCCACCCTTACGCAAACGAAAGTAAACGGAGCGTTTCGCAAAGGACGCTCAACGATCTCCCTTCGCAGCGAAACGAGGTACTCTCGTCCCCAGCCGTCTAGAGGTCAGAGAAAAATTTCGAGCAGTAAGTAGCCGCAGTGAAAGAATAATTCATTTTGGAAATATTAAAAGTTCTTTCGTTGTAGTACTCATTCACAACGCGTGTTTGTTTAGAAATATTTACGCCCGCCAGAGTTCACTTACTCTCAACACATATGCCCTACACACCGTGCCTCGCGAGTCGGGCCGGACAGCGCCAGCCGATCAACGTCATTACCAGTGCAATATCGTACCACTTCTTCACGTCGTCCGCTGTGTCACCCATGGCTGAAGAACACAAAATGTGCGCTCACAGGCAAGGAAGCACAAGAACTTTCTTACACAAACATGAACACAGGCAACAAAACAACTAAAAGCACAATGTGGCCAGCGTCACTAGCAGCATCGCTACATTTAGCAAATGCGTTTTTATTTGAAATTATTTTAATGGTTTGTTAGTCGCGTACCTACTTAATAGTGCTTTTTTGTAAAAATCGCATAACGAGGATTCACAAAAAATCAATACAGATGAAATTAGAATACTTTTCCGAAAATCAAACATTGCCCGCTGAGCCCACTCGCGGCAACTGTTACAACCTTGTCGCTGCCGTGTGGCACTGCCACAACTCCTTCTCCGTCGAACCCCCTAGGGGAGATTTACGTTGACGGTGTTCAACGGAGTTTGGTGGTGACCGTGTGACAGGGGTATTAAGAAAATGTTCATGTCGGCCATCGCAAATGGAACAATGGACGACAAGAAGAAATGACGACGCAGGCGCCCGTGTCGTCGTTTCTTCTTCTCGTCCGTTGTTCCATTCGCGCTGGCCGTCATGAGCTTTAGTCCTGGCCACTGAATGAAATGCTTGCTACTTTACTTGGGGAATGCTATAAGCGGTGGTCGAGTGAAATTGATAATGACGTCAGCTCGAGTGAGTAGCCACGTCAATATCAAAATAAGGCACAACAAAGCGAAAAGTCTACCAAACTAATCTAATCAATATTCAATCATAATCAATTTATGAGGTCGCTATCTAAACTGATAGCTAAGAGTGCGACAGCACCATTGCTCTACGATTCTACACGAAGAGAGAATCTGAAAGCAGTGAGAATTACCGCACACAACCTCAACCACACTTAACCTCAGTGATTTCAGTGATATGAAGCGCCAAAACAATTGCGAGAGAAACTTGAAACTGAACAACATGTCGAGTAAGAAAGTACACGAGAAAAAAAGCGACAATAGCGGCGGTGGTATATTCTAGCGCGAGCGCGTCCGAGATAATTTGCGAGTCTCGATAACGCAAGTGAGCGCAGGGTTTGGCATACAGGCGAAAACGCTTTCCGTAGATAGGTGGATTTTTCTGATACGAATAACCCAGGCGCGTAGCCAAAAATGTTTTTCGGGGGGGGGGGGGGGGGCACCATTTTTGATTTCGCGAGGGGCACCACCTTAACATGGCCATTTTTCGCTTTCTATGCCATGGCAAAAACAATTGGGTGGGGGGGTGGGGGCTCATGTGCCCGGTGTGCCACCCCCTGGCTACGCCCTTAAAATAAAACTATATAGGAGGATAAACCCTCATAACTTCTATATAGGAATCCTTCGTGAACTGCTCCACCTAGTATAATGTAAATATTGTGTCTTGCGTCTCAACAACACACGATCATGCTCCAGTGAGCTTTTTGTGAAGCAGGTGTGCGTTCTTGCTTTTGAAAGCCATCAGAATGCGGCTGCCGTGGCCAGGAATGTAAT